ATCCCATACACAGAGTGATTTGAAGCTGAAAGAGAGCCCTTAAGGAACTCATGTATTCAAATCATTGCTCTAAGAAAGATTCTTATGACACATAATTTGAAAGGAACAATCAGAAAAAAACTACAATTGAAGCCACTCAGTGCCATGCTGTGTGCCCACAACAGAAGACAAATAGCTCAGCAAATCCCTTGTGATAGCTGCAGAGCAATCAAGCGAGAAAGACAAAAATTGGGCCTTGAGAAATGGCCAGAAATTAGGTTATTAAAAGCCTTAATCAAAGCTGTTGAACACTGCACAGTAAGAAAAGAGACCTTGCAACATCCTGCAACGACAAATAGCCAAAAGATCATTAGCGCTCTCCGCAGGCCCAGCTTCAACTCCTTCAGTGCTTATTTCTGAACTCATTCTTCAATTTCTTCCACAGTTGTATGTTATTTACTTCAGAGCAATGCAGAGAGAAATCACTGTATGGAGTCCTTGACAAAGTTCTCCACTTTGTTGTGATAGTTCGTGGTATGTCATTTTTAATTTGATCTGGGGTGACCGGGCCACAATGTTGTGAATCTAGATTTTACCTTTCAGTCATCCGGCACACTGAAATATGAGGCAGCCGTTTCTTCGGCTGCCCATTGCTCCCCTTAGTGCTATCTGCCTCTTGGTGAAGAATAGTCAGGAGACTCTTCCAGTGTACTTAGAGATGTAAGCAACCATGTTGGCTGGGGCTGATTGGAATTGTAATCCAAAAGGACACAAGGTTGAGGAAGGCAGTTTTAGGTTGTCACCTGGCAAGCCTAATTTGGCTTGTGCATGCCCAAGCCTGGCATAAGATCAGTTATGGTGGAGTCTGGAGGAAGGAGGCCAAGCTTGGGGCAGAGTATTCCCACTTCAGCAGCTTATATCCTCTCACAGATCAGAAAGAAAGAGTGGCCAGAAAGGTTCAGGACCTTGGACAGGTCCAAGAGAAGGGACAGCTTGTTCAGACAGGGGCTGGTTGCTGACTCAGCTCTTATTCTGCAGCCTGGCTGTCCCTGCCAGGCTCCACCCTCTTGATGGGAGAGGGTGGAGTTTCTTAAAGGGACAGGCCCCTGCCTGGAGCCTGGCATCTCTCCATTGCCCTTTGCCACACATGCTGCTCGCAGTGGTGAGCGGATCTGGCAGATGAAGCCAGTGCAAGCAAGGACGCTGCTTCCCTGGTAGTGTGTGGCTTGGTTTCAGTATTGAGGTCTCCTATTCCAATGATGACCTCTGGTTTCTGCGCTCAGGCTCAATGTTCAGGGCACAGGTGTGGTGCTTCTGTGGGTAGTCATATATACTCGTCTGTGGGTAGTGATATTTACACTTAATTGCATTTGCCATTTTGCTTCCCGTTCACTCTGTTTGGAGAGGGCTTTTTGGACCTCTCTACAATCTCTTTTTGTTTTAACATGATATGCTAAAAAACTGAATGTCACTGTTCACAGGAAACAATGAGTTTATATTTGGTATGATATATTATGTAATATATTGTTATTGTGTTTTGCATAAGGATTATTCTTGCACTCTCAATCATCATCATCGCCTCCAGCACTGTGTGCTGTTGTGCTGCTCGTTGTGTTCTTGTTTTTGTTGTTTTTGCTAATAATTTTTGTTTTAGTGGTCAGATCACTGTTGTTCTTTTATTTGCTTTTATATTTGCAAGCCACTTATGAGCAAGTCCTTTGTGGAGGGCTTTTTTTAAAAGCCAGGGAGAAGCTATTGAGAAAAATAGTCATGGAGAAGAATAGTTATGCATTTAAATGAATTTGTGTTGTTCAGAAAATTACTCTCTTTCTCTGCTAGCTGCGTCATGTGGTACTGCTCCTACAGACTGGGTGGGTAATCGGAAAAAAAAAATCAAGCAACTGGCAAGTAATGAATAATGGCCAGCAGAATTAGAAAACATGTTTGCTTCCCAGAAGGGCTGTCTTTAAAACAAGCACGTTACAGGCTCAAATCTGAGAACATTTCAAGATTCACAATCAGTTTAATTGGATACCTGCTGGCAAGGTAAATGTCGTTTTATCATCAACAGCAGCAAATGCAGCTTTACAAATCACTGCCAGATGAAACCAAATATTTGACAATGAATAAGAAGGCCTTGTTCTTTACTATTCAGTTTTGGATTAACGTTGATTGTAAGAGCATTGTAATAGTTCAAAATGATTCTCACACCCAAGTCTCTTTAACGTATCTCCCACAAACAACACAAGACTGAGGTTCTGTTGCTAAGTCAGGTTTTGTTTCCAAACTAGGAACGGGTAACTAGCCACAATGGTTATTTTCTACCTCCACAGCTGGAGGCAATGTGCCTCTATAAACCAGTTGCTGTTATGTTCAGGTCCCTCTTTTGGGCTTCCTGTAGGCATCTAGTTGGCCACTGTGAGAACAGGATGCTGGACTAGATGGGCCATTGACATAATCCAGCAGGCGCTCCTAATGTTCTTACGATTGGCTGGTGTTATCAGCCCTCCACCAAACAGCTTCAGGTAACTGGTTAGTCCAACTAATTTTAATTTTAGACCCACTACCAGGTTTGAGAGGGCCTTGGGCAAGTTACCCTCTGCTCCTCCATGAAGTCCCATCCTGACAGCCTAATCCTCCAGCAGGCTTGCCAAACTGTGCCTGCCCCTGCTTGTTTCTTTTAAGTCTGGGTCCGAGGCTGAGTGGAGTTCATCCTGGGCCTTACTAAGCTGCGCCGAAAGGTTTGTCCATGGGATCTCTGGCACAACAACAACAACTTTATTATTTATACCCTGCCCATCTGGCTAGGTTTCCCCAGCCACTCTGGGCAGCTTACAGAATATATAAAACATAATAAAGCATCAAACATTAAAAACAGAGCACTGTAGCCATGTGAGAGGGGCCTCATAGCTGAATGGGGATTTGAAGCCAGCAAAATCAACTAAGTTTTGATGCAGAGAGTGAGTGAGCAAGTGAGAGATTTACATGCAGTGGATGTGGCCAAAGATAAGGAGCCCTTACTGGCGCCAACTTTTATGATGAACCTGACCATCAGTGAGGAGGGCCGATTTATCTGGCCAACTGCATATATGGCTCCTGGAATACTATTTAGAGCACAGAGTAGGTCCAGAGAATTTCAGTTGGCACTGCATGGTCTTCCTGCTTCCAGAGGCTATATGTTGCCTGCTTAGATTCAGAACACTGGGGATGGGAAGCAGGATGATACTAAGGTGAATGGCACAGGTGGATCTCAACATGGAAGTGCTGAGGACTTATTGCGAGTAATGGCTGGGCAGGTCATAGTGTACTGTCATTATGCACACACAGACTGAGAACTGGCCTGGGACTGGTATTAAAGAGGAATCTTCTCTCATGCATGCAGCTCTGGACTTGTAGGAGGAGATGGATTGGGCCCCATGATTTTTACCAATTCCCACCCTCACTGCCAAAAATTCCTAACTGCAATGAGAAACAATATGATTTTAAAAGTTGCGATTCAAAAATGTGTGACTCTTTCCCCTGCGTCTCCAATGTCTGCAGTATCTTTCACCAAATCTGAAGTTAGTAGGTTTTGCACCCGCAGTTCAGCCACTAGAGGGGGACGCAACCCATACTGTGCTTGAGAGCTAAGCTTGTTCCTGAGCATTTTGTGTTCAGTAATTCACTGCATTCTTTTGAGGAAAATCTGAACACTGAGCTATAGTGAACTGAGAGTTCTATCAGAAATCTATCCTCCAATGGAGGCAACGTATTTTTATTTTAAATTGCAGCAGTAGAAAGCGTACCAGATAAGACTACACTCTTTTATCACATTTCAGTTTATCGGTTTCACTTTTCCTTAATTTCTGGACTGGGAATTTGCACTGTATTTTTGTGGGTGTGTACACCCGCACACATCCTTCCTCCTCCCCAAATTTCATGATAAGATTTTAAAGGCTCTTTTAATTAATAAATGCGGAGTTGTTGCAATTTGGTCTTATCTGGGCGTGGGTGGGTAATCTCAAGGAAAAGAGCTTGGTAGTCAACTTGATTGATTGCCTTTACATCGCCACCACCAGCGTCTTTATAAAAGGATGAACTTCTAAGAGTGAAGAAGGAGAGGTCAGACTGTGGCCATGACAAGGGACAAGGCGAGATTCAGTCTGCAGCAGTTTTGCAAAAGTTCCAAAGCCCTAATTGCTAGTTGACACCAGATAAAAGATGGGGTGGTGGAGGAGTCACAGAACTGCAGAGGGTCATCTAGTCCCCTTCAATTTTAAATGCTTTTCCTCTCCCACCAACTCCATAGCTTTTGGTCCTTTCTAAGGGTGTGTCAAAGGGGCTTAGGAACGTGTGGGTCCATGACACCCACAATTCCCCTGCCAGTCAATGAGATGTCTACACCTTTGAGAACCACAGCAGTGTGAGTGCTATCCTGCTGGCAGGCCTCCCTCCCTGATAGCTGCTGAAAACACTTCTGCTTCTTCCAGTAGCCCTTCTGTTGGCCTTTGGGCTGCCCTTGGGATCGCCCTGCCACTTGACTAAACATAGCAGCAAAAGTAGTGTAGTTGCTTAAAGACCAAGAAATTTATGGCATACACTTCTTGCATTCTAGCGCTCGTTCAGTCAGATGCAGCAGTTAGTGGTGTGTAGAGCATGGCAATTCATGGAATGTGTACACAACCATAAATTTACTAACCAAGCTGGAAACCAGAATAGGAGCATTCCCATTAGGAAGGTGAAGATAAACCTCAACCTTTTGTCGCTAGTCCCACTTCCACCTCTAAATATCAGATCCCGGGGGTCAAACAGCAGTGTATTTCCAGGGGAGTAAAGGAGGAATCCTGGCTTGGGCTGGTAGGTGAAATTTGAGCCAGAGAAGGTCAAGTGAGTGCAGTCTTATGGCTCTCAATCTTTTCTGTGTGTGCATATTATCTGCTGCTTCTAAAACTGCTGGATTTTTTTTGGTACTGTTCTAGTTTTCTTCTTGTTTGTGCTCATTTTAGGTTGCATTTTTATCTTGTTTTGCACTGTGGTGCTTTGGGGATGGGCCATAGCTCGGTGACTGAGCATCTGCCTTCCAGGGAGAAGGTCCCAAGTGCAATCCTTGGTATCTCCAGTAATGGTTGCGGAAAGGACTCTTGGTTTGAAACCCCAGAGAGCCACTGCCAGTCACTGCAGAGAATGGAGAGCTAGATGGGTCAAGGGTCCAACTCAGTGCAAAGCAACTTCCTATGTTCCTGTGTGTGTTGACTTGTGTAAGCCACCTTGTTGTATTTTTGTCATATGATGGGTTATAAATTCCTCCTCCTGCCCTATTTGGGAGTTTCCTAGAAACACCTGGAGGTCACTGCTGCAGGCAACATACTGGATGAGAGGAACTTTGGATCTGATCCAGCATTATCTTACATTCTTATGTCATCACTGCTCTGGCAACTTTACAAACAACAAGAAATGTGTCACATTTCTTCTTCTTTTCCCTATACTTTTGTACAGTGGTACCTCGGGTTAGGAACTTAATTCGTTCTGGAGGTCCGTTCTTAATCTGAAACTGTTCTTAACCTGAAGCACCACTTAAGCTAATGGGGCCTCCTGCTGCCGCCGTACCGCAATTTCTATTCTCATCCTGAAGCAAAGTTCTTAACCCAAGGCACTATTTCTGGGTTAGAGGAGTCTGTAACCTGAAGCGTCTGTAACCCGAGGTACCACTGTATTGGAACAGGCCAGAATTGACTCCTTGGCACAGGCTGGCGTCGGAGAGCCTGTGACAAAGAAGTGGGTTTTCTCTGTCTGCAAAATCATGCATCCAATTTGATCCGTTTGGATCTCCTAAACCCCCTAAACCTCAGGAAACACTTCTTGCTTCATTCCTCTTCACAGCACTCTTACTTGCGGGGATTCACCTGTCTGTCAAACGGCCTCTGGGGCACCAGTGCACTGAGCTCCCTGCTGGGAAGCGCTGATGCCATCTTCCAGGATTCATCACGGCAGCATTGCACACAGCGCATAAACAGTGAGTTGTGCAACCGTCGCACAGGAGAAAGCACCGAGCATCTGCTGTTGACATATTATAAGCAAGTCATGTAGGAGGCTAAGCAGTGGGTGGGCAGATCTGGAATGACTGCAGGGCTCATTCATTAATTATTGGTAGGTGGTTGTCCTTTATTTTGAGCAACAAGTACCAAAGGAAATGATGGGTGGGAGGGAGGGGGAGGTGCAAGGCTGCCTCTCCATATAGGTAGCATTCACACAAGGCATTTTACTATGGAGGTCTGCTAGTTTGCCTGCTGCTCTGAGTTGCACGTCACTTTGTGGAGGCTGGGGAGAGAGGGGGCTCTCTCTGCAGAGCCTGAGGAACCCGCCAAGTGAACTCTGGGAAGGGTATTGTCTGTCTTTTGGCAGGTGACTTGGGATTTGCCGCTGTCCTCTGTTGACAGATGCTGGAAGGCAACTGCGTTGCTAAGAGGACAAAGAGGTGCGCTTATTGGAAAGCGGTGGTGGTGGCTGGTGGGGAAACCACTGGAGAGAAACTACAGGGGCGCTTTGTGCTTACTGTCAGATCTTTCCGTTTCTTCAATAAAAGCCAGCCCTCGGGGGAAAAGCATGGGCTGAAAAGTCTCTGTAGTGGTAATGCCGACAACTTCATTGAGAGGGCTCCCTTGTGTGGTGCCGCTCTTTGAACATCAGCACAGCGACAGGAAGGGCTGTAGCTCAGGGGAAGAGCATCTGGTCTGCATGCAAAAGCCGCTGTTTCAAACCCTGGCATGCCCAGGAAGAGCAGGGAAAGGATCTTTTCTAAAGTCAGATAATAATGAGGCAGGTGCACCAGTGTTCTCTGCAGGCAGGAAACAACCACCCGTGCACCGTGTTCAAGGCTTTGGCCAAAGAAAGTAAGGGGCCTGTGGATCAAAACTTAATTTCGCCTTCGAGCAAAACTGGACGTTCCTTAGGCAGCTGCCTGGGGCAGCACTTTGTAAAGGATGAAACGCTTGCTAAAGCAGCAGGCCTGCTTGCTACCTGCTGGCTGAAATGAACAGCCCAACCCTATGGGGAGGCAAATCAGGAACAAACAACATGCCCCATTGTCAATGGGAACTGGCACATGCTGCCTAATGGAGACTATGAGTCAGCAGATCTAGGCTCTGCCCCTGGTGAGCCTTTAATCATAGAGTTGGAAGGGAACACGAGGGTCATCTAGTCCAACCCTCTGCAATGCAGGAATCTTTACCCCCGACATGGTTGTTCGAACTCATGACCCTGAGATTTAGAGTCTCATGCTCTGTCAACTGAGCTGCAGAGGCAATCTTCTGCCTGCCAAGGGCTACATTTGCTTGGGGGTATATCCTTTTCTGTGGAAGACAGGAGTGCCTGGCGTGCTCTGGTCCATGGGGTCACGAAGAGTCGGACACGACGACTAAACAACAACAAATATCCTTTCCTGTTGGGATAGCACCAGATCACTCCCCCCTTTATTTTGTTTTTACGGAGCATTCAATTGTGATGAACTCCAAAAACGGGCTTGCCATTTCTTTAGCTGTTTGTGAGAACTAGGTCCTTAGGGAGACATGCAGCTGTCATTAGTATAAGGGTGTTGAGAGCTGGCTTAGTGTAAGTGGATAGGAACGGTAAGCTACGAATCAAAATTGTACCCCAGCCACAATCTCTCTGGGGCACTTCAGGTGAAACACTGTTCTGTCAACATCATGCCCCCCTCTCCCCCCTCCCCATGAGATAATGCGAAGGCATTCGGAGTGTGCAATAAGTGCCAGATAAATTATTGTTCTTAGCAATCGGTCTGCTCAACTGCCAGAACTGCTCTGAGCTCCTCTGAGATGAAAGGGGCTCTAGAATTTTTAAGTTGGCCTGATTATATTCCTGCTGCATGGCACATAAATAAGCCATTCAGCTCTGCAGCTCTTGCTTCTTTGGGTATCAAAGTTTCTTGAGGGCAGAGAATATTTTTTTGTAATTCTTATCAGTTAGCCATCAGAGGCATCGACTCATTTCCATTTATAAACAGGAGGGATGACCTAAAATGGGATTACATTTCCATCTGTTTATACGAGATGTTCAGGGATTTTTCTGTTGTTTTTTTTAAAAAAAGGACTCCCACCCTGCTCAACGGAGCAGATGTTTTGCGCAGAGAAGAACGGATATTCTGGAGTCAAACCCTGCTCCCTTCTCCTTAAATGTCCTCAAAGTTTCCTGACTTCACATGCAGAGTTTTCCCCTGTGGTGTTTCCCAAGGCCTCTTGAGAGCTGCTTTCCCTCCGTTTTAAGAGTCTCCTGTGTAAAAATGCATCACTGCGGTGCAAGGACAGTGTAATGCCTGCTCCTGCGATGCTATGGAATTGTGGGTAAGTGAAAGGAGGAGTGTAGAAGGGTGGGAAAGAGCAAAGGAATTTAAAAAGCCAGTTGCTGACAACCTGAAGACTCTAAAGAGAGTCTTGAAGGAAGCAAATGGATAGACAAGGCTTCAGAAAGAAGAGGAAAAAGTGGAACTGACAGACTGAAATGAATGATGACAAGAAGCTTCTATTCAACCGGCAACAATTAAGCTGACACCATTGCTACATAGCCAACAATGGTTTGGGCTTGGATTATTCTTTATTCAGAGCCTGTTCAAGGCATTTTGCTACCTGAGGTGAAGGACAAGGTTCTTTCCCCTACTCCACCATATTCCATATACAGTGGTACCTCAGGTTACAAATGCTTCGGGTTACAAACGCTTCAGGTTACAGACTCTGCTAACCCGGAAGTAGTACTTCGGGTTAAAAATTTTACTTCAGGATGAGAACAGAAATTGTGCAGCAGCGCCGCAGCGGGAGGCCCCATTACCCAAAGTGGTACCTCAGGTTAAGAACAGTTTCAGGTTAAGAACGGACCTCCGGAACGAATTAAGTTCTTAACCAGAGGTACCACTGTACAGATGCGGACTGACCTAGCAGTTTTATCTTATTTCAACACTCATGATGGGACAGGATCCTCCATTGCACCAGTGAGCAGCAGGCTAACATAAAGGATGGGGCAGGTTAGACTATGTAGTACCTCACCACCACTCCCCATCATCTGCCACCTGAGGCAGCCACCTCACACTATCTAATAGAAGGGCCGGCACTGTGTCAATTTTTAAATGGTTGGGTTAGCTGTGTTTAATATATAAAACGAAGACAATATTGTTTATTGTGTTCACTGTGACCCCCAGACTGCCTCTCCTTGTCCGTTGCTGTGTGCAATTACCATGGTAGTTTCTGTTATGTTAATAACCCTGCATTTCTCTTGCACACAACCTTCATTTGAAATGAACTGCAGCTGTACAAGAGCATATCTTTAGTTGCTCAGAGAAAATGTAGCCATGGAAGTGGTTGGGCACTTTTGCAGCTGGCTAGCCAGAGAGGACTATATTTAGTTGTTCTCCATCTTCCTTATAGCTTCCTTTGCTTATTTTGAAAACTGTAATTGCATCCTTCCCAAGCACTTAATATTCTTGCCTTTTAAGAACCATCTCCTCAGTTGACACGAATTTTCTCGGGAGTTGTTTATGCTCCAGGTACAGCTATTTCTCCACTGACCTTTACATTTCAAACTACGCACTAAACTCACAGGTGGATTCAAGAAGCAGCACATATCCCAGATGATTCCTGCAACGGAATGAAATCAATTCTGCATCAACTTTCAGCTATCGTCCAAAGCTAGAGGGATTTGTGCTTATTTGCATGCTATTTCTCTCCAATGCAATGCAAACAATGCAGCTTCCCTACTTTGAATTTTAAGATGGTAACAATCTGGGTCAGAAATTCAGGTGGTTGAAATGATCGGGAAAAGCCAAACGCTTACGCAGCTCACTTTCCGTTGCCAAGCAGACTTTGCCAGTTTACAGACCACATTTTGCTACACAACAAAAGCAGCTACCAAGAAGGAGCTGGGTTGTGTGGAATGCCTACAACAGGTATGGGGAACCTGTGGCGCTCCAGATGTTGCTGAACTATAACTCCCACCATCCCTTACCATTGGCCAAGCTGGCTGGGGCTAATGGGAGTTGCAGTTCAGCAACATCTGGAGGGTCAAAGGTTTCCCACACCTGCCTATAACAAGCAGGGATTTCTTGTCACATGACCACAAGGACCATCAGTAGGAGCAGCTAAGCCTGAGTGGGAGAAATGAGATTTTATTTATTTATTTGGGTGCACCCTTTGTGGTGGAGTTAAATGAGATTTTATATATATTCATATAGGTTATTTATTTAGTTATTTAGGCAACACTAATTACCAGAGTTTCTATAAGTGTTCTGCTTTTGAAAGGAAGGGTTAAGCCATCCACCAACCAACATGGTGCCCTCCAGGTGGCTTGGACTACAACTCCCATAATTCCTCAACATTAGCTGTGCTGGCTAAGTCTGATGGGACTTGTAGTCCAAAACGTCTGGAAGACACCAGGATGGGAATTTAGGGGGTGGGGGGGGTGGGTAGACACTGCTTTTAAACCACAAGAATGGAGCTATCACATTGCACTGATGTTTTTTGTGCACAGGCATCTGCTGTGCCTGCTTCCCTGTGCTGTTGAGTCAGCCGTTTACCCCAGTCTGCTGCGAGGATGTGCAGGTTGAGGAATCAGAACAGAGTTCCGAACTGCTGCCATGTGGCTTTCTGGACTGGGTCTACTGAGCTAGCACATCTGGATCCATTTTTAATGGCACATAACTGCAGATCTCTCGGTTTCATCAAAAGGAATTCTAAAGCAAGGATCAGCTGTTGCGGGTTGAACTACATGTTACTTTGGGTAAATGTGTTTTCCAGGTAATGGAAATGAAGGGGAATTTGTGGGAGACAATTGGTAAGTGTGTGTGTGTGTGTGCGTGTGTGTGCGCGCGCATGCATGCGTGCACTTAACCCTTTTCTTGTACAGTAATCCCCGCCCCCCACAATTTCTCAGCCAGGTTGAGATTATTTCTAATCACAAAGACCACCTGGGGGGGAAGGATGAGAAAAAGAAGCTTGGAGGCTGAGCTTTTTTTCTCAGCTAGAACTCGCCAGAACTGAGTTCCGGCACCTCTCAGGTGGGTGTCATTGCCATTATAAGAGAACAAGCAAAGTGAGTTCCAGCAGCTCTTTTACTAGAAAAACAGCACTGCTTGGAGGAGTTGTGGGAAGAAAGTGGTGGATGGGGAAAGGTTACGCACTTTGCCCTACTTCCAGTTCTCCCCTGCAAATCTTATTCAGTTTTTGCATTGATATTAATGCAGCAAACAAGGACAACTTTGCATTTGCTGCAATGTGTGTGTTCCTGCCTTCAGAACATCTCTCGGCATGCCATCATCGTTCAGACTCAATGCACGGAGCTTGCCATCAAGAGTAACACATTTTGTAGTCTGAAGCACAGGCCAAAGATGGAGAGGAACATAGGTTCATTCTGTCTTTTTTGGGGGGGGGGTGGAGGATGTGGATAACTGCTGCATATAGTCGCACATTTTCAGATGGCTTTACTGCTAAAATAAATAAATAAAATTAAACCACAAAGCGAGAACAAATGTGTGAAACTTACATGTTACACCATCTGTTATTATCTACATAATTAATGCTGTAAATGTTAAAAAACAACAACCCCAAAACCATCACTGGTTGCCATGAATCCTCTTTATCTCCTATTTTTCTCCACCAAAATGAATGGACACGGTCTAAATATTCCAAAGCAGTATGTTATGTTTTGATTAAAAGAGAGACACCAGGAGATGAAGCCCCTCTGAGGCTAGAACCCATGTTTCTTGTGGAGGTTGCCTTGACAACAGCCTTGCCAGCCAAACTCTTTAAAAGGAGACTCCTATCACCACTGTGACGCACACAAATCAGCAACCCATTACCTCAACATATGGCAGCCATGTCATCAAACAAGAGGGACACCTGGGTTCAAGTCTACAACCACCCTCTCTCACCCTAACCTATCTCCACAGAGTTCTGAGGATAGCATGAGGAACCACGTGTGCCACCCTCATAGAATCATAGAGTTGGAAGAGACCACAAGGGCCATCGAGTCCAACCCCCTGCCAAGCAGGAAACCCTGAACTCACTGGAGGAAAGACAGGGGATGAAAATGTAAGGATCGCATAGTACACAGTACATAGTACATAGTATGGTTGATGGCAAGGCATGATGGGAGTTGTAGTCCAGCAACACCTGTAGGGGCCAGGTTTACACTTATGCCTCTCCTCAACCCTTATCTCTCTCTCCCCCCTCTGGTCTTTCCTTTCTTCTTTGAGATTTGGCTTTTCCACATGATAAACCAGATGAGCCACTGGTTGCTTGGAGGCTGGATGTTAGCCACATGCCATATTTGAACTACGCATTATCTGCTACAGCATTTCACCAAAGAACCACCAAGATCTCCAAAGCCATATTCATGCTTGTCTGACATGACGACATCTGACATGATGACTTCACATTGGGTGAGCGGGCTAAACCTCAGAGCTATCTACCAGTCTGTGGTGCAGTTTCCAGATGGTAAGGAGGGCTACAAATGGTGTAAGTACAAAACTGCTTTAGACAACATGCAAAATAGGTTAAGTGGAAACGGGGGTAGCATCTCCACCTTTCCAGCTGAGAAGAAAATGATAGAGTCAGTGATCAACTTGCATTCTCACATCCAAATCCAACTTACTTCAACTAGACCTACTGAAATTGAAGGGTCTAAGTTAGTCAAGCCCATTAATTTCAGGAGGTCTACTCTGTGTATGAGCAGCTTCATATACAACCCCCTGAACATTAGGAAAGCCTTAGAGAGGAAAGAATATTTTACTCCCTTGCAGAAATCATTCCTGTTTTCCACCCCCTTTCTGTCATATAGATATAAAATGCCCCGTTTATTTATTCTTGTATACCCTACAGTCCAGTGTTCCCCAACCTTGGGCCTCCAGCTGTTTTTGGACTACAATTCCCATCATCCTTGACCACTGGCGAGGGATGATGGGAGTTGTAGTCCAAAAACAGCTGGAGGCCCAAGGTTGGGGAACACTGCCCTACACAACTGTACACAAGATGCCTTGATTGCATACAAGGTCAATGGAATTCAAATAAGATACAGGCAACATACCATATTAAATAGCAAAAATCAGCGTTAAAACAACAGTAGTCATTCCAGAAGCCCAAGCATTTGGTCTGAACTTCTTCTTCTGGATCAGAGGCTGGAATTCATGCACGCACATGTGTGATGCTTATGCGCGGTTCCTTCCCATGACACAGTCCCTGGGAGCTCATGTGCTCAGCTGTATCTAAATCTTATTTGTCCTCAGAGTGTGCCGTTATCCACTGCAAGGGTAAGAGAATTAATCACATGCCCCAATGGCTGCTTAGTCAATTCCTTGATTAAAGTGTCATATTATTCAAACCGCAATTGACTAGTGACGTACTGCATAAAACCATTTCGCCAGGTATAATTAAATCAAAGAGCCTGCTGGGATGGGGAAGCCTTCAATTAAATAGATTAAAAGTCTTCCCTACTCCAGCTCAAAAGCGCATTGCCCTTCTGAAATCTTGAGCCAGTGTGCCCAGAGCTAGGCTGGTTGTCAGCAGAAGCACAGTCATCATGTTTAAATTAGGTGTCTAAATCATTGATTCTCAGTGTGGAGTGGGGTCTGCTAAAGGAGGAACAAAAGCTTTCGCTTCACCCCTTAAAGTAGCCTTGGACAACCTAATGCCCTCCAAATGACCATAGAATCTTAGAGCTGGAAGGGAACCAAGGGTCATCTATTCCAACCCCCTGCAACGCAGAAATTTTGGCTATGATGCTCTCATTATCTCCAGTGCTGGGTGGGGACACAGAGGAACAGAGCAAACTGCCTTACACTGGTCCCTCTGCAGGGCCATTCATTTCCTTCCTTCCTTCCTTTCTGCATTCATGCCCTGTCTTTATCCCAAGTTGGTGTTCTCTTCCAGCCTAACCTGGAGATGCCAGGAGTTGAAATGGAGATCTTTTGCTTGCAAGGCAGATTCTCTGCCACTGAGCTATGACTCTTCTCTTGGGGCTGATGGAAGTTGCAGTTCAATGACATCTGGAGGGCACAAGGTTGGCAAAGGCTGCCTTACAGGCACAGCCTTGATTGGCCAGTGACCATAACCTACATGACTAACTGCGACATCTCTTTTACTGATAATCAACAGAGGGTGATGGATAGAGGGGGACTTACTCGGTTCCAAACTTCAGCAGGATGACTAATGGTGATCAAACAGCCAGTTCCCTTCTTGTTGACGTTCTGGGAATCCTTCCCTAAGGCAGCGTTCTTCAATCTTAGGTCTCCAGATGTTGCCAGACTACAGCTCCCACCATTCATAGGCAGCTTAACTAATAGTTAGGAGTGATGGGAATTGTCCTACAACATCTGGAAAGCCATGCTTGAAGAAGACTGTTCTCAATCTTGGTACATGCAGCAATAGCCCTCCTTTCTTCTATGAATGTGCCTTTCGCCTTCACACTCTGACACACGGATTCTGTGTATCTGATTCCCTGTACTACACAGCTTCCATCTGCATCAATATTAATGTCCAAAGAAAACCAGAGCGGATAAAAAAATCTAATATTTATTATTTTGATTTTTGTTTAATATCAGATTTTGCATTTTAAATTAGATTCCTTCAATTTAAATCTTAAAATCTTAAAAAAATTTAAAAATTACATTAACATAGCAGATTAGTAAGTCCCACTGTGCTCAATGGGGCTTACTCACTAATGTAAGTAAATTGGAGTTTTGTGCAGGGAAACAAATCAGGTAATCCTCACTGGGCGAATACATCCTTCTCTGGTGTGGACATCAAGGTAAGAAAGCAGATGGAGCCAGCTTATTTTCTCCTGCTCTGGAGGGTTAGGACTCAAACCAATGGCTTCAAGTTACAAGAAAGAAGATTCTGACTAAACGTCAGGAAAAACTTTCTGATAGTAAGAGCTGTTCGTCAGTTGAACACTCTTCCTTGGGATGTTGTGGACTCTCCTTCCTTGGAGGTTTTTAAGCAGAGGTTGGGTGGCCATCTGTCATGGATGCCTTTGTTGAGATTCCTGCATTGCAGGGGGTTGGACTACATGA